TGCCCGACCGGCCCCAGCAGCACCAGCCTGGCCCCTCCCAGCACCAGCCTGGCCCCAGAGCACCTGCCCGCCTCCCCTGCTCGGCCTGCCGTGTCCTCTCGGGCCCTGTGTCTTCTGCTTGCCTGCGCTGGGACGCCTAGCTGCTGCCCTACTGGAGAGTGCTGCCGCCGTGTCCCCGCGCCGCTGTGCTCCTGTGCCGCTGAGGAGCTGTGCTGCTGTGCCGCTGTGTCGCTGAGGAGCTGTGCCGCTGACCCTGCACGATGGCTGACTTTGTGCTCCGCCTGGACGCTGAGGGCCACGCGGTTGACTTCGCCGCCTGGCTCTCCGATCTTCGCCGCCAGCTTACAGGTCAGCGCCAGGATGGCCACTCTCTGGTTGTCCATGCTGATGGCTTGCTCCCCCGCCCCCCTGCACCTACTCCCCTCCCTGCTGACCCCTCCTCTGATGACCGTGAGGCTTTCTCTACTGCTGCGCTGGCCTGTGCGGTCTGGGACTCACGCGATGCAGTAGCTCAGGTTGCTATTAGTCACGCCCTCCCTATGTCTGAGCGCTCGCGTTTTGCTACTGTTGAAACGGCCAAAGCTTATTTAGACGCCGTTATTGCTCGCTATTCCTCCCCTGCCTCCGCTTCTGCTGGCCGCTTGCTCTTTCCGATGCTGTTCCCAGACCTGGCTGCCTTCCCTACTGTCGCAGATTTTGCCACTCATTTGCGTGCCCTAGAGACTCGCTATCGCACTGCCAGCACTGCTGCCCAGCTCACTGCGCTCCCCCCTCCTTTCTGCATGACGCTCTATTTTATCGCTATGCGCCTGCCAGACCGCCTCGCTAGTGCTCGCGACCACTTTCTTAGCCAGCACCCGGGTGACCTCACCCTGACCGCCTTTGTCGACACCCTCACTGAGATCGAGACTCGCCAGCGCACTATCGCTCAGTCGAGCGGTGCGCCGGCAGTCTCTATCTTTCACGACTGTGCCCCATCCCAGTGCACGTTCACTGACGTTTCGGCTACGGTCGCCACGGCGACCCCTCTTACCGAGACGGCTGCTGCTGTCCACCCGCAGCAGCGCTCGCGTCGCGGTGGCCGTGGCCGCCAGGGAGGTAGGGGTGGTGACGCATGTGGTAGTGGTCGTGGTGGTGGTGACGGTAGTCCGCCTGAGGGGACTACCACCGGTGGGCAGGAGCAGCAGCCCCAGCAGCAGCAGGACCAGCCCCAGCCGCAGCCGCCGTCCCAGCAGCACCCGCCGCAGCCGTGGGCTCGTCTCCCGCCTGGTTGGCCCGGCACCTCCGGAGGCGGTGGCCGTGGTGGCGGCCCGCGCAGCTTGGCGTCTACCAGTGGCTCCAGTGCTGTGACCTGCCAGTACCAGCTTCAGACTGGGCCTCTCCGCGGCACTCTGTGCCGCCGCCCGCACCCGACCGCCCGCTGTTTCCGCCGCCTCGACGATCTTTTTCGTCGTCGCTTTGGCCCGGCCCCGGACCTCCCTGACTGGCACAGCCTGCTCCGCCAGGGCGTGCCGATCTTTGAGTTAGACATGGATCAGATAGGTGCTGCTTTGCATGCTTTGTATGCTGACGCTTCTAGTGTTGCTGGATCTTACTACCCTGTGTACTCTAGTTTAGGTGTTTCACCCTTGTGTAGCTTAGCTTCCCCTGCTGCGACAGGCGTAGGACTGCCTAGGTTGCCTAGTCTAGTCGCTGCACCGGCTCCTTCCCCGGTGCCTCCGCCCCCACTGTCGCAGTCGCCGACCCCGCTGCTGCCGCCGTCGCCGTCGCCGCCGCAGCAGTCGCCGCTGTCGTCGCCGCCGCCGCCGCTGTCGCTGCCGCAGCCGTCGCCGCTGTCGCCGCCGCCGCAGCCGTTGCCGCCACTGCCGCCGCTGCTCTCGGCCCCTGGGGGTGCTGGTGTGGAGGAGGGTGTTCGTCCTGCGGCTTCTGGGGGTGCCGCTGGTGTTGGAGGGGGTTCTCGCTCTGGGGGTGTTGGTTCTGGGGGTGCTGCTGTTGAGTGTTCTGCCGACGGTCGTTCTGCCTCTGCTGGTCCGAGAGTTCCGGCCCAGCCGTCGTCGCCGCCGCAGCAGCCGTCGCCGCCAGTTTCCGCTCTCCGCCTGCTCGGCCTTCCCTCCCCGGACCGCGCGCCGGTGTCTCCCCCACCGCCTCCTGACCTCCCTGTCTACGGTCCTGTGTTCCCGCCGCCAGACTCGTCTCCGGCCGGTCTTCCTCCTCGTTCCCCTCCTGTGTCTCCTCCGCTGTCCCCTGACCCTACCCCTCCGTCTCACGTTTGGGCTCGCCGTCCCTCCCGTGCTCGTCCCGTCTCTCCTGTCCTGCCCACCCACCCTATGTTGCTCCGTTCCCACTCGTCTCGTCCTCCCCTCCTCCCGTCCCCTCCTCCCTCGTCCCTTGCTGTTGCACCTCCTCCGTTCTCTGACTACCTCCGTGCTGCTCGTCCCCTTGTCCCTCGGGTCCTTGCCTCTCTTGTTACCGACCCTGCTGTTCCTGTCTCGCGCCTTGACGCGCTTGTCGCTGCTGTCGCTGACTTCGCTTCTACCCGCCGCCTTGACTACGCTACCGCTCTGGTCTCTGACCCTGCCCGTCCTCTGTCCGTCGGGGGTGCTCCTGCCCTTGGCACTGACGTCCTAGAGGACAGGCAGTACGAGCTGGCTTTCCTTTCCGAGGCTGCTCCCCATCTCTGCTCCATGCTGTTAGTCCCTGAGGGTGACCCAGACGCCTTCGACATCCCGACCCCTCGCACCTACGCTGAGGCCACCTCGGGACCTTGGGCCTCTCAGTGGATAGCTGCCATGGAGCAGGAGATGGCATCTTGGAGATCCACCGGCACTTACGTCGACGCAGTTCCCCCGCCTGGGGTGAACGTAGTCGATGGTCGGTGGCTCTTCAAGGTGAAGCGCCCCCCTGGAGAGCCGCCTGTCTTCAAGGCGCGCTACGTGGCCAGAGGTTTCAGTCAGCGCGAGGGGGTTGACTTCTTCCAGACCTTCGCCCCGACCCCGAAGATGACCACTCTTCGGGCGCTGCTACACGTAGCAGCACAGCGCGACTACGAGCTTCACTCCCTCGACTTCTCTACTGCCTTTCTTCAGGGCAGCCTACACGAGCAGGTCTACCTGCGCCGACCACAGGGCTTCACTGGTACCTTCCCTCCTGGGACCCAGTGGCTTCTCAGGCGCCCGGTCTACGGCCTGCGTCAGGCTCCCCGCGAGTGGCACGACACGCTACGTGCCACGTTAGCAGACCTGCAGTTCTTTCCGTCCTCTGCTGACCCTTCACTGTTTGTGCGTTCCGGCCAGACTCCGTTCTACATCCTTGTCTACGTAGACGACCTGGTCTTCGCTACTCCTGACAGGGACGCACTGGCCTCTGTGAAGGCTGAGCTGCTGAAGAGACACACCTGCACTGACCTTGGAGAGCTGCGTCGCTATCTTGGCCTGCAGATCTCTAGGGACAGAGCAGCACGCACCATCACTCTGACCCAGTCACACTTGGTGCGTCAGGTCCTTCAGAGGTTCGGTCTTCAGTTCTCCTCTGCACAGCCCACACCTCTACCCGTAGACCATGGGCTCTCTGCTCCCGTTCCTGAGGAGCCAGTAGAGCCCAGCGGCCCCTACGCAGAGCTGGTGGGTTGCCTCATGTACCTGATGACTTGCACTCGCCCAGATCTCGCATACCCTCTCAGCATCCTGGCTCGCTTTGTGGCTACAGGCAGACACCGACCTCAGCACTGGTCTGCCGCTAAGAGGGTTTTGCGTTATCTTGCTAGTACATCAGGCATGGGGTTAGTGCTAGGAGGACGCAGGCCAGTGGTCCTTACTGGGCACACAGACGCTTCTTGGGCAGACGACGCTGAGACGCTCAGGTCGTCGCAGGGCTACTGTTTCAGCCTTGGTTCGGGTGCTATCTCTTGGAGATCCACTCGCTCGTCGTCTGTGGCTCAGTCTAGCTGTGAGGCTGAGATCTACGCTGGTGCCATGGCGGCACAGGAGCTCCGCTGGCTGACCTTCTTGCTCACAGACTTAGGTGAGCGGCCTAGCTCTGCCCCGGTCCTGTACGCTGACAACAGGGCCATGATACTCCTGTGTCAGGAGCCTCGGCTTGAGGGCAGAGCGAAGCATATCCAGCTGCGGTACTTCCTCCTGCGCGAGCTACAGCAGCGCCGCCAAGCCCGCGTAGTTCACTTGGCCTCAGGTGCCAACACAGCTGATATCTTTACTAAGGCGCTTGCGCCTAAAGATCATCAGCGGCACTGTGTACAGCTTGGTCTTGTTCCTATAGCTGCTCCCCTGTTAGGATCCTGATTGTGTACTCTCTATTATATATGCTTGTCAGACTGGCCTTGTGGCCTTACCTCCAGTGGCTGGACTAGTAGTGCCACCCTGGCTTGCTTCAGTTTTGGTTGTATTCTTGCTGACTGGTCTCCGACCCCTGCCTCAGTGGTTGGACTAGTAGTGCCGCCCTGAGCTGTTTGCTTCTTGTTTAGTTTCACCCCTTGTCTAGCCTAGGGGGTGTGTCAACTTATACATATTATCTATGTAGAAGTTATAGGCTAGACTGAGGTATGCTTCTAGTGAGTACAACCAACTAGTATTTGTTCTAGGTTTCCACCTCTAGTAATCATTCGTTTCTACGTTAACACGGCAGTGTGGCGACGCTGTCGGACGCGACTCGAGAAAGGGTTGGGCCGAAAATGTAGGCCGAGCCGAACGTGACGAGTCGAAGTGTTCGGGTGTACGCGGTAGCGGGCGACTCAGTAAGGAATGGAAATTCCTTACAGCGGGTCCAAATAGTTTACACTCTATTAATTTTGTGAAAAGTAACCCGATTTTAACCTCGCGCTGATTTCGCGAGGACAGGTGCGCGAATTTGCCGTAACTCGGGAGTCAAGCAAGAAGAACCAAGGACAAGCAAAACAGAATGGGAGAGATTTTACCATTCTATCATCCCTGTGAACAGAATCTTTTCGTGTCGTGTGCCTGTTTAGAATGGATTTTGAACGTGGTGACTACTTACAAAACGTTTAGACTTTGTGCATTGTATTTACAGAGTGGGGTTGCAGCTTGTGTCATAGAACATCTAGAGAAAGTGCATTGCTAAAGAAACTGGAGACCTCTACTCTCCAGCCTCTTACCCCACATCCATGCTCTCCTATTGTTCCCTCACCCCACCAGCTCCACCAAACCCTTCTGTACCTCACCACTCCTCCACATTATCAGCAACAAATCCAGCGAGCAGGCGGCCATTGGTGGAGCGAAGCTCGTTCATGAGGCGGCTCCAGTTGGAGCCGAGGCTGCCGACGAAGAGGTCGCACTGCACGGCGATCAGCACGCTCGCAAGGCTCACTGCCACCGACTGGTCGCGCTCGTACTGCCGAAGCGATCCTGCCGCGCCCTGCCGCGCGTTTGACGAGTAGAAGAAACTCCAGGAGGGGTGCTCCTTTGTTTGGTCTATGTTGGCCTGTGCGGTGCAAGGAAGAAAAATAGACAGTGGGAAGCACATCCACAGAACCTGACTGGGCTAGAAGTGGCACGAACCGAGATAAACGGGCCATCAATGGGCACAGATGAAGAAGAGGACATTGAGAGGCATGATGGAAAACAAAGGTACAAAGCAGTAAAATTGCCTTTGAAATTGTTGTAGGCATCGGACCTGCGTCTCGGTGTTGAGCCAGACGTGTTGGAGGTGGAGCGCATGGGGTCGGATGCGAGTCATGTGGAAGACGTGCGAGTCCAGGGAGCTCAGCCCCATCTCCGCAAACTTGTCCGTCCCCCTTACATGCAGACTCACTATAGGCCGCGGCATGTACGGCTCATGCACTCCCACCGACCAGCCAGCATCATTGCCAGTGTCACCGTTACCTCTGGCACCACTACCACTGGCGTCTGATTGGAAGGATAAAGTTGAACTAGCAAGGGCTGCCAGTTGATCTGATGCCTTTTGTCTCCTTGCTTCACAGGCAGTTGCTGCTGCTGTGCTGTTGGCTCCTGCTGGTGTGGCACTAGCAATGGCTGCTGCTGTGGAGGCGCCAAGAGAGGCGCTGATGCTGTGAGAGAGGGCGGAGAGGGATTCTGATTGGGTCTGCAGGAACCGAGCGACGTGATTGGCTGAGACCGTGCCGAAGGCGCGGTGCCTCTCCTGGTTGGTGACGTGGCAGAGGTGGGCGGATGGCCACCGCATGATGAAGCGCACCGCCTGCGCGCGCCACCAGTGCACCTGGGGGCTTAGGGAGAGGGGGGGTACAAGGGAAAACAGTAGAGTAAAAATACAGGAGAAATGAAGCACACTACCTGCACGCACCACCAGTGCACCTGGAGGAAGGGGCAAATGAAAACATTGAGCTAATTAACAAGGGAAATGAAGCACACCCCCTGAGCGTGCTGCCAGTGCACCTGGAGGCATGGGACAAGAGGAACTATTAGACTATTGAAAAAAGAGAGAAAATGAAAAGCACTGCCTGCACGTGCCACCCGTGCACCTGGGGGCATGGGGAGAGAAGGGGGGAGTCATGAAACGAGTGACTCTTGACGCGCACTACCTACACCCATCAACAATGCACTAAGGGCCTGGAATCTTGGAAGGAGGAAGGACAATCTTGGGACATGCCCTCCTAAAAATGAGTTGCTAGGTCTTTCCACTGATGCCAACAAGTCACGCCACTAAGCCTTACCTTTGAACCAGTCAAGTCATGTCTCCATTTGGTAGGTTTCATCAAGCCATGCCATCAAACTACCTTGCGCTGGCGTTCAGTCAGGGTTGCCAGTTTGCCGCCCAGCTGCACAGTGCAGGGCGACCTCAGGGAGGCGTCACCCCAAAGGCTGATGGATGGGCAAGCAAGGGGGAGGGAGAGGGAGGGAGAGAACGAGGAAGGAGTGAAACGACAGAAAGGTCAGTTTTCCGTCCAGCTGCACAGTGCAGGACGACCTCAGGAGGAGGCGTCAACCCAGAGGCTGAGAGGCGAGGTGGGAAGGGCAGGGGAGAATTAATGAGAGTGGAGGAAGGAGTGAAACGAGAGGAGCATCAACTTGCCATCCGCGTGTGCTCCTTACAACACGGGTAACGAAGGCACAACAGACCGAACACAATCTGCAGAACCAGCTTCCGTGTGCATGTGCGCATGCATGTGTGTGTGCGCAGTGCAGTGCAACAGGGCTCTGCACATGTGCAACAGGAATGCACCAGACGCGTCCCAACGCACTCTGCAGCTCCAGCCTCCATGGAGAGCCTCGTGTGTGCGTGCGTTCGTGCAGTGCAGTGCAGTGCAATGCACCGAACGCGTCCCAATGCACTGCAGTGCAGCGTGCAACAGGAATGCATTACAAAGAATTTCGGCCACTAAACTAGACGCACTCTGCAGCTCCAGCTTCCATGGAGAGCCTCGTCGGGTTGGCGTATCCAACGGCCACGATCTGATCGTCCCGCGCTGCCACATCAGCATAGTCATTCTCCGCATGGGGGATCTTGTCCGGGTTCTGCTGCAGGGCCTGTTGGATGACGTGGCGGCACGCTGACGAGGCGAGGGGGAAGAAGAAGCACTCCCATTGGCTGTTGTGACCCGCAGCTTGGGTAGTGGGACAGGATTCCGGGTGGGGGAAAGGGCGGGTTGGGGAATAGGCAGGGAAGTGGACAACGGGGAGGAGGGGTAGGGAAGGGGTGGGAAAGGGGGAAGGGGGGAGCATGAGACGGAAAACATGAGACGGCCAGGGAAAAGGCAAACGACTTTGTGCACAAAAACAATAACACACAGGGTTTAGGCTCCTTGAACCATTGCATACCATGCACCATGCACCATGCACCATGCACCATGCATGCATCATCCACTGACTGACCTTCACAGGCGGGGATGCGAGCGCGGTCGAAGCCATCGGGTTGCTCCACGAGGGTGCGGTTGTGCTGCATGGCCACACTCAACAGGGCGCTCATGTAGTGGATCTGGTTGTTGCGGGTGAAGGGTGTGTAGGGTTCAACGAAGGCCACGTCATGCGCACATGCACATGCACAAGCACAAGCACATGCACATGCACACATGCACATGCACGAGGGTGCGGTTGTGCTGCATGATCACACTCAATCTGGTTGTTTGGGGGTGAAGGGTGTGTAGGGTTCAACAAAGGCCACGTCATGCACATGCACAAGGGTGCGGTTGTGCTGCATGGCCACACTGAGGAGAGCGCTCATGCAGTCGATCTGGTTGGTGGGGGTGAAGGGTGTACTGTGTATGGTGTAGGGTGTGTGGTGTAGGGTGTGTGGTGTAGGCTGTATGGTGTAGGGTGTGTGGTGTAGGCTGTATGGTGTAGGGTGTATGGTGTAGGGTGTATGGTGTAGGCTGTATGGTGTAGGGTGTGTGGTGTAGGCTGTATGGTGTAGGGTGTGTGGTGTAGGCTGTATGGTGTAGGGTGTATGGTGTAGGGTGTATGGTGTAGGCTGTATGGTGTATGGTGTAGGGTGTATGGTGTAGGGTGTGTGGTGTAGGCTGTATGGTGTAGGGTGTGTGGTGTAGGGTGTATGGTGTAGGGTGTAAGGTCTAACACACACAACAGTGCGCTCATATTGTGCAACTGCCAGGTGCCGCACATGCATATCCACGAGGGTGCGGTTGTGCTGCATGATCACACTCAATCTGGTTGTTGCGGGTGTGTAGGGTTCAACAAAGGCCACGTCATGCACATGCACAAGGGTGCGGTTGTGCCGCATGGCCGCACTGAGCAGGGTGCTAATCTAGTGGGTCTGCCATGCCACGCCATGCATATGGACGCATGGGACCAGAGAAGGAACGACGGTGGTTACAAGAGATGAGTGAAGCAGCGACTATGAGTGGACTTTGAGGCAGTCTCAGCCCGTTTCACGCTGAGCAAGAAACCGTATCACATTACCTTAGGCGCCAAGATCACCTCAAGTTCGCTACATGTGCCTGACAGGCTGCTGAAGCCACCTGAAAGCCTGCTGAAATCACTTGAGAGCCTGCTGTAATCACCTGGGAGCCAACACCATGCGCATGGGTTTTGGCCCAGGAGGCAATGAGGAGGCGTCTGTTGGTGCAGTCGCCAGAGGGGAACTGATGGCGCCAGATGTCCCTCTGCACGACACGTGTCAACGGAAGATTGGCTGCATCCGGCCCTCTGACCTGGATGGGATTTGGGTGGAGCGACGGACAAAACAAACACACGCTTGTGTTGAGGCACGCTTGTGTCGAGGCACGCTTGATTCGAGACGATCCTCGAAACATGTGTGTTCAGGGTTGCTTCAAAAGCGAATTACAGGTCCAAGAGAAGTGTGTGAGGGAGGCCATGGCACAGTGAAGCAGAGGGGAGCGGATGAGAATGGGAGAAACCATGTGACATTGTAATTGAGAATAAGATGGATAATCACATTCACATGGATGCTGGCCTTAGGATTGACACTGACAATGACACCGCCCTTACCCCCTTAACCCCCTTACCCAAGGTGGCTGGGGAACCCCCCCCCTCTCCCCCTCCGCCTGTCCCGAGCACCCAGAGGAAGCAGCAGCAGCAGCACCAGCGGCAGCAGCATCCGCCCTCCTGGGAGCCCCTCGGGTCCAGGCGGGCTCCTCTCCGCCCGCGCCTCTCCGCTCCGCCGCCTCCCGCTCCGCGCTCACTCGCGCGCAGTCCTCCAGGTGCGGCGCAGCAGGCACGCCCGGCGGGAGGGATAAATTCGCAGGCGGAAGGGGGGCCGACGGCGCGTCTAAGTCCCCGCCTACTACGCCATACGCCTCCGCCCACGCTGCGAGCAGCGACGAGGCTACCTGCGACGCGGCGTCGCCTAGCGCGAGCGCAAGGAGCGGAGCAGCGGTGCGGTGAGAGTGCGTGTGGTGAGTCGTGTGCGAGGCGGGAAGGGAGGGAGAGGAGAGAAGCGCGCCGATGAGGAGGTGGCTGAGTGTGAGCGAGAGGGTGCCGTGTGCGAGAGATGAGCGAGGGTGGGATGGTGAGATGCGGTAGGAACCGGTGTGACGGCGCATTCTGCTTGCGAGAGACGGCGACGCAAAAGACGGTCGGAACAGCGTCTCGTGCGGCTTGGATTTCAGAATGGCGAATTACTGGGAGGGACAGAGAGAAGGTGCAAATAAAGCTCGAGATCAAGGCGGGTTACGGTAGGTTAGAGATTGATTTCGGTTGGGGTAGGGATCGAAAAGTCATCCCGGGGAATCGAGAAGAAGGAAACGGGGAAGGAGAGACCGAGGTAGTCCCAGATTGTGCCGGCCGTTGCGGCAATGGCGGCAACTAGCATCTAGCCCGAGGAGGTCGAAGTGCAACTCATCATTTTGTACTCGTTACGTGCCTGTCTCGTCGTTCAGCACGACTGACGAGCATTGTACAGTGAAAAGCTCTACACATTCGAGGGTAGGATTTGTCAAGGACTGGTTAATCTGTTGTATTGAACATTTTGTGATTAAACCAGGCCTAAACACCAAACGAAGCACACTATACTGGACACCCTTACAGACCTCTTGACCAGCACCTTCTGACTGATTCTGACACAATTTTCCGCTCAGCAGGGATTTCACCAAGCAACGGTCATATCACTCCATCTGATTCCATAGCTCTCCGCATCGCGCGGCGCTATGGTGGCGATCCAGAACTCGCAGAAGTACGACCGGCAGCTGAGGTGAGTCGGCGAGATCGCACGGCGAGTAATGAGTAATGTTACATTGGCTATAAGCACAGCTTTTTACCGCTTTACGCGCTGTCCAGCATTCGCTGGGTAACGAGCTCTCTTTCTGGTTACGAGGCATCGCAAGAATTGTCGCGAAGCTCGTCGTCGCGATAAATCTGCGATATAAGCATCCAGATGCTGCTGAGTGCTACTCGCGTCGAGTACCCGGAAAGGGCTGTTCTGGTCACCTTCCTCCTGTTGAACTTCCTGATCACCCCTTAGTTCGGTTTCGGAAGGAGTGGGTGGTTTTTGAGTCGACTCAAAAGTCACCTCTGGTCACCTTCCTCCTGATGACCTTCCTGATCACCCCTTAGTTCGGTTTCGGAAGGAGTGGGTGGTCACTGTGCTCTCCTGGAAGTCTCCGCATCGTTCTAGGCCTCCTCGCAGTTTTCCGTTGGGAAATCTCAGTGGTCAAGTTTTCGGTTTCATTTCGACAACGGCAAATCAAATCACTATCACGATGGAACCGTGGTTTGTGCGACGTTCGCAAATGGCAGGTAACATGATAACGACTACTGTCCGATGGGCCGATAATGGTAGCCACAGCCGTCTGATGGACGCATTGTGGTAACCACCTGTGTCAGATGGGTGTTTAGTGGTAACCATTGGTGTAGGATGGACGCATACAGGAGTAATCACACCTGTGAGATGAACGTGCTGTATTAACCACAGCTGTCAGATGGGCTTGTACTGGTAACCATGGTTGTGGTGCGTCCTCACCTCGATTCTGCTTTTCAACCTTATGCATCAAATGCGCTTCCACAATGCTTTCTGTTTCCTGGAGGCTCCTACGTGGTCAAGCGAGCTCGTTCACTGCATGAGGGGGGAGCACGGGCAGAGAGCGGTGGAGCAGTCAGCGGGATATGTGTGTTGATTCATCTGAACATTGCCTTGGCTCCACCCCTCCACCTGCACAATATGGGGAGAGCACGGACATTGAGCGCGGATGCTGACTGACAGCAGGAGATGTCCTTGGATTCATCTGAACACTGCCTTGACTCCACCCCTCCGCCTACAGGATATGGGGAGAGCACGGGCAGAAAGCGCTGGAGCAGGCGCGAGTGTGTTTGCTGACAGCGGGGCCCACAGGCACTGAGGCCTTGAAGAATCTGGTCTTAGGGGGGATAGGCTCGTTCACTGTGGTGGATGGCGCTACTGTGGAGGCCCATGACCTTGGAAACAACTACTTTTGTGAGTTGCGCTCTGACTGGTGTAGATTACTGTTAGAGAATGTGATTATGAAGAGGATAAGCACTGTGAATGGCACTACTGTAGAGGCCCATGACCTTGACTCCTTTGTGAATAGAGCTATGACCACTGTTAACTAAAACCAGGGAATGCGATTATACTGAAGATTGGCTCGTCTGCTGTGGTCAATGACGCCACTGTGTATGAAAGCTCTAGTCACCTCTTCTTCCAACCTCCTTCCTAATTCCTGCCTTGTCTCGCCCTCCCCGCCAGAGTGATCACTGCGATTTAGGATCCTCACGCAGGCAGTCTGCTGCAAGAGCTGAAGGTGCTGATTCCCCCCTACACCTCCTCCTCCCCCTCCACCCCCCTCTCCCTTTCCCCCTTCTTTCTGTGGCCTATCATGCAGTGGACCGCAGCCACCTAGGGACGTCTCGAGCGCAGGCGGTGACAGTGCTGCTGCAGGAGCTGAATGAGAGCGTGGCGGCTAGATTCGTGGAGGAGAGCCCCGCGACCCTCATTCAGAGCAACGCCAAGTTCTTCAGCGAGTTCACCCTCGTCATTGCCACCCAGGTAGGGGTTATTCCATTGGATAGGGTATTCCCGCTCCTGCCATCTCCCTGTTAGGCTCCAACGCATGGTTCATGGAGGAGTGGAGAGCCCCGCGACCCTCGTTCAGAACAATGCCATGTTCGTCAGCGAGTGCACTCTCGTCACTGCCGCCCAGGTAGGGTTCCCTCTCCTGTCATCTCCCTGTTAGGCTCCAGCGTATGGTTTGTAAGCAATTTTCTCTCGTTAGTGCAACTCATATACGATATGGCTTCCTTGCATCTGTCAGCCCGCCTTTATGCTCTTTCAAGCCAGCATAGAAGTAGATGACACTGTGCTGAGTTAAGCCCACGACATGATTTATTGCGTTGTTTGGGTTTTCTGAAAACACACAATCCGTTCCGTTTGCTGTTCCGTCCTTTTCTTGACCCTTCTTCGCTGGGCCCCTCTGCCCCTCCAATACTCCACCTCACCGCCCTGCCTATTATGTGCCCCACCTTTCGCTGCTCCATGCTTTCTCCTCTCTACCCCACTGCCTTGATCTCGCTCACACACCCTCTGGCCCACCTCCCATCTACCACAGTTGGGGCTCACTGCTCTGTACGTCCGTCAGCAGTACGGGATTGAAGCAAACACTCACAAACACTCACCCTGTGTCCCCTCCTCCCAGCTGCCAGAGTCCGTGCTGCTACAGCTGGACTCTGTGTGTCGGCAGTACGGATGTCAGCTCATTGTGGCACGCTCCTACGGGCTCATGGGCCTCATCCGCATCTCTGCTTCGGTAAGCAACTAGTTATCTTTGACCATCCTCTACCCTTGTAGGCAGATTTTTCACAGCATATCTCCCCCCCTGTAAGCTGTATCGCTCACACTGTAAGGTCTACCATCCCATTGTGCAGTTCTGCGCCGTCGGTAGCCACGCCAGGAGGTCTCCTCCCTCCTTCTATAGTTTGTCCATTTGCGTTCCCTTCCTCTTTGCTCACACGAGGCGTTGTACCCCCTGCCCCTTTGGTTTGTGTGCTGGGAGCACACTGTGGCGGAGTCCAACTCTCCTTCCCTCCCCCCCACCCCCTGTTCGTCTCTCTGCCCGTACCCACTCCTCCCCCAGGAGCACAGTATGGTGGATTCGAATCCTGACAGCACTGTGGACAATCCGAACCCACTCTCTAGCCCGCCTGTCCTCTCAATTCCGTGCCCTCCACACGCCTGCCCTTTTCACCCCTATTATCTCACCCCCTATCCTCTCACCTCCTGTTCTCTCAACACCCCCCAGGAGCACAGTGTGGTGGAGTCAAAACCTGACAACACAGTGGACGACCTGAGACTGCACAAGCCGTGGAAGGAGCTGCGCGAGTGAGACTTGGGGGGGGTGTGGTAGGGGTGATTGGGGTGAGAGGGTTGGGGGCATGAGGGTGTAGATTGACAGTTCAGGGACAAGACAACACAGTGGGCGATTTGAGACTGCGCAAGCCATGGAAGGAGCTGAGAGAGTGAGACTGGGGGGTGGTTGGGAACTTGGGGTTGATATGGTGGTGGAGGTGGTAGGGCTGTGCAGTGATGGGGCTGCAGGGTTAGAGGACGATTCGAGGATGCGCAAACTGAGTTTTCCCAACTCCTGTTTCCTATCGCGCTCACTGGCTGATTCGGAGATTCCCTTAGAACATGGACTCTCCTTCTTGCACTGCACTGGATCCTGGCATGGACGGACCCCATGGCACCGTGTTGCTTCAGAACATGCCTCCCGTGTTGCCTAATGCTTATGTATGAGCTCAGGGTCACAAAGTGATTCGACCTGGAGTTGGAGGACCTGATTCTCCACGAGCACATACCGTACACTGTCGTCCTGGTGCAGGGACATTCTCAGCCTCACTAACCCCCTCTTTCCTCCTGCACACTCGATGCTGGTTCACAGAGGGCGTCGACCTGGACATGGAAGATGACATGCTTCGCAAGCACATACCATATGCTGCTATCCTGCTGCAGAGACGTTCTCAGCCTCACTAACCCCCTCCCTCAATGCAGATTATTTTTGAGGCGCCTCAAAAATAGACTCCTGCTGCAGAGACATTCTCAGCCTCACGAACCCCCTCCCTCAATGCAGATTATTTTTTAGGCGCCTCAAAAATAGACTCCTGCTGCAGAGACGTTCTCAGCCTCACGAACCCCCTCCCTCAATGCAGATTCGCTGAAGGATTCGACCTGGACATGGAGGACGCCATGCTGCACAAGCACATTCCGTACGCTGTCATTCTGCTGCAGGCAGCGCAGAAGTGGCAGCATTGGGGGGGGAGAGAGGAGAAGGGAGGGGAAGAGGCAGCACCGGTGGCAATGCAAGCAGATGGAGAGGGGCAAGGTGGGGCGGGTGAGCCGCGAGCGTTGCCTCGCACTGCCAAGGAGCGATCAGAGTTCAAGGTAGGGTGGAAATATTAATGGTGGGTGAGAACGTGCATGGTAGAGTGTCTGTGAATGTCCAAGCGGATTGTGAAGGAGGGGCGTTCGAGCTGCCCGCTTGCCTCGTACTGCCAAGGAGCAATCGCAGTCAAGTTCGTGTGGATGGATGGAAGAGGGGTAGAGTTGGGAGATGAGTGGATGTGAAACAAAGGGGCAGGGAGGGGTGGATGAGCCACGTGCATGGCAAAAAGAGGTTGGAGTTCAAGACAGGGTGGATTTGTGAAGGCATGTGAAGAGGTGTGGGTGTGTGAGGGCAAGGCTAGAGGACTGGTATCTTGTGTAAAAAAATGACAGCGATAGACGAGGATGAGGCTGGGAGGGGAAGTAGGGAGGGAGAAGGGAATGAGGCTGTGCTTTCTTTCTCTTCACTTCACCTCGCACTTCTTTTTAAACTTCGTTCCGTTGCGACCCGCGCCCACACCCAGGCGTTAATCTCAGCCCACCAGAGGCACATCGACGAGGACAACTTCAAAGAGGCGCTCGCTGCTGCGTATAAAGTGTGGTCGCCGCCCCCAGTAGGTACTGTCCTCACGTCTTCTATTCTCGCTTATTGGGCCAACTCATAGACCAGCCCCAGTGCCACTTGGTGTTCTTTCCCTTCAACCCAAAAACACTCTTTCCGAGTCCATCCCCCCTGCATGCACCCGTTACTAACTCCCCCCCCTCCCCCCCTTCCACACGCACCTCTCCTGCGAAGGATGCGCCGCACACAGGCTCAGAGCTGCAGGCCATGTTCATAAACCCAGCATCGGTGTCACGATCCCAGCCGTCCATCTCAAAGCATCCCTCCACGGTCCTCCCCTCCCCCCCACCCAACCCCCTGACGATGCATCGCCCAGGCTCAGAGCTGCAGGCCATATTCTCAGACCCAGCCATTCAGCTCTCGCATGCCTCCTTGGACTTTTGGGTGCTTGCTGCTGCGCTCAAGGTGCGTGCGTCGATGGATTGTCTGCGCTTTTCCCCCCCTTTGTATTGTTGTTATGGGTTGTTTCTTCCTCGTGTCTCACTGGAAGCTCACTCACCTGCTGCTTCCACCCGGTTGTTGTTCTTTGGTCTGCTATTTCACGTGTACCCAAAACCCAATCATTTTTTCCATCAATTAAGGGCCGTCTCCTCCTCTACTACTTCCTAGCATATCTCTCTTACACTTATTTTTTCTTGCTATGTGCTCTTTCTTCCCTGTGCCGTCATCTTCAGTTGTTTGTGGAGGAGGGGGAAGGGGATTTGCCTGTAGATGGGTCCATTCCTGACATGCACTCCCTCACAGAGTGAGTGTTGCTGGAGGGAGCGTGAGTGTGGTGGAGGTAAGTGAGTCCAAGTGTACACAAACGTCCTTTGGCGAGTCAGAACTCCGCGTATGTCTAAAAGCATACATGCTAGTAGAAAAGGGATCTCTGCTCATCCTACTCTACGAATCTCTCGCTGTTCCTTCCCTCCCCTCCTGTATTTCCTCCCATCCCGTCTTTCCTCCCTTCCTTTCCTCCTCCCCCCCCGTCCTTCCTCCCCCCTGTCCTTCCTCCCCCCCTGTCCTTCCTCCCCCCCTGTCCTTCCTCCCCCCCTGTCCTTCCTCCCCCCCTGTCTTTCCTCCTCTCCTGTCCCTCCCTCCTTCCCCCATCCATTATCTCCCCTATCCCCACTATCCCCCCCTACCCCCCTCTCCCAGTTTCTACGTGGCACTTCAGAGAATCTACCTCAGCAAGGCGGATGCTGATGTGGCAGCCGTGCAGCAACACGTCAGCGACCTGCTGAAGAGCATAGGCAGGGACCCCGCCTCCATTCCCCTCACTGCAGTCAAGCTCTTCTGCAAGAATGCGCGGAACCTGAGGGTAATTTGCGTGATCACTTAATAATTCAAGGATAATTCACTGGTCACCCTATCAATCCAATAGTATGCCGCATGGCCCTGCTGCCGGTAGCGGTTGTTGTTGCACATTCTCCCGTGTCACCATACCATACCATACCATACCATACCATCCCCCCTGCGACGGTGAAGCACTTCCTCAAGAACACCGAGCACCTGAGGTGTACACCCCATGCTGGGCTAGCACAGACTTGTAGCGCTGCACTGACTGGGCGCTGCTGTTTTCCGCACCCCCGTGCCATCCTCCTTCGTACTCATGTGCCTTTCAGCTTCTGCTTTACCGATCAAGAATGCTTTTCCTCTACCCCTTGGTCTCCAACTCTCTTATACTCACTATAAGGTGGTTCGCTTCAAGCCTTTAAGCGAGGAGTTGGGAACAGGGGCGCCAACTTGCATTCCAGCGCTCCAGCGACTCATGACATCTTCTGATGGCAGGTGCAGATTCATGTCACTACCGAATGGCAGGTAAGTACAGCTGTTTGTGTATTACCCTCACTCGCAAAGGTTTTTCTTGTAGCACTTTCTCCAACATAGAAGCCAACTCTTGCTTGATGCTGATTCTGTGCTGCAATTTTCACCAGAGTCCTTCCCTGCTCTCCTGACCTCTCTCCTCTTCCCAACTCTTCTCCTCTCCTTCCTCCACCCCCTACTCTCCCCTCCCCGCCTTTCCTCCCCCATTGCCAGCCATGCAGCCGTCTGTGTGCTCCTGAGAGCAGCAGACCACGTCACCTTGCTACCCTCTTCCTCTCTCGTCTACCCTCCCTTCCCCCTCCCCTATTGCTGGCCACGCAGCCCATAACGTGCTTCTGAGAGCAGCAGACCAGCTGTCCCTTTGTTCCTCTGACCTCCCTGTACTCCACTCCTCTCCTCTCCGCCCCCCGTGCCAGTCATGCAGCTCTCTACGTGCTCCTGAGAGCAGCAGACCACGTCACATTGCTACCCTCTTCCTCTCTCCTCTACCCTCCCCTCCGTACTCCACTCCTCTCCTCCCCGCCCCCCTCCTAGCCACGCCGCCCTCTACGTGCTCCTGAGAGCAGCGGACCAGTTCTTCTCCCAGTTTCAACACTACCCCGGCTCCTTCCCTGGGTAGGGCAAAAGCCTGGACCCCTTGCATTTCACGTGGTGTTCATAAGCTTCTCTACTGCATGCTTTGGTCCTCGTTCCAGAGTTATGATTTGTGTAGCAGTTCAGGTACGATGGCACTAAGGTTGATGTCTGAAAGTATGGCAACTGTCAGCAGCCCCAACATTCAGATTCAAACATGCTTCTCAACTACCGGGTGGTTGGTTTAGGGGGGTACCTTCCTTTTCCTTTTCACCTCCATCCTCGTGCTTTGCTATTCTCCTCCCAGTGACGTGGATGATGATGACGTGGCACGCCTAAAGAGCCTGGCAGGGTCCATAGTCAGTGGAGGCGGCAGCCCCAGCCAGTCACCATCGATCCCGGATGATCTGACGGCTGAGTTGTGCCGGTTTGGTGCCAGTGAGCTCCACTGTGTTGCTGCTGTGATTGGAGGAGTGGCAAGCCAAGAAGCAATCAAGGTGAAGCATCTGGTATTATGTAACCCGGAGAGAATAGCTTCTTTATATAACCTCCCCTCCCTAATCCGTCTATCCCTTAATCTGTCTCATCCTGGTTACCATGCCCTGTTGCGTGTTTCTTCCCTGTGCAGCTCATCACCAAGCAGTTTGTGCCTGTCTCAGGAACACTGATCTACAATGGAATCTCCCAGTCTTCTTCAGTTATAAAATTTAGCTAGGGACATTAGTGGTGCTAACCATTGCGAGGGCTTACTATTTTTTTTCACGGCTGATATCATGTCTGGGAGAAGTGCCATGGATGGAAATTTTGATACCAGAAGTTGCAACTCGTAATTCAATTAGTAGATAGTTACGGTGCAATGAGAAATGACTCATGAACATGTAAACGAACTAGATCATGATAGCGAAAGTTTACTTGATCTTGTCGTAGCTGGTCCGCCCTGCTAGTAATGGAGTACAAGCCAAGCAAGTCAACCGGGCAGTCACCCTCACATCCAGGGGTTCACTCCGTATTCATTCTGAACCACAGTGGCAACTGATTGTCGCTACTGTGCAAAGCTTTTTATTGACCGTTACATGCTGCTCTTTTGCAGATCTCAAACTCCATGCATTTAGCGCTCCGACATCACGCTGGTCTTCTGACCCGTCTTGTTGCATATGTTAGTATGGAATGGCACGACGTGAAATTAAAACTCCACGTGATCCGCGATCTTGAATACGGCTTCGCCCTGCTTCGGGTCAATTAGCGCCTCAGTCAATTCTCCGCTCCTGCTGTCCTGATTCCTGAACCAAAGCATTGGAGGTGAAATAACGAACTGCTTCACATCAATGACCTGAACTGAAATGGAGACTAGCTGGGGAATTCCATTGACCGACTCATTTGAACAGACTCTTGTGCTGGCATGTGGAATTGATCTGACATCGATTCTGGTTCCTGTGCAAACGAGATCCGCTCATGTTGCTCCAGCACCTTAGTCAAATTGATATGGCTTTGACCCAGCGCGTAGTGCATTTGCGACCACGTCGTAGCGAGGACTGCGCTGCAACGCAGTTCCTCATCCCCCGTTAGCGAGTGCTAGTCCCCCGTTTCCGTCCTATCATTTCGCCTTGTACATACTAACACCTAGCCTCAGAAGACGCGGCTTCTAATACCTTGTACACACTACCAAATCGGTCTTGCCTCTTCCGCCAAGAATCGCGTGTTTTTATACCCTTCAAGGCGTACCATTTCGAATTGACTTGAGCGCTGCTACTCGCAAGCAGAATGATGCGTCACCGCTGCCGCTCCTACCTCCGACCATCACAGCCTCAGTCACATGTGGCATCCGCCCTCACCCTACTCCTGATCGGCGCGCTTCTCTCTTCGCCCTCCCTCCCCGCCTCCAACACGCACGGCGCCGGCCCGCTCCTAGCGCTAGCGCAATCCGCGTCGCAGTTTCTAGGCGACGCGGCTTCGCAGGAAGCCGAGGCGCTAGTTAAAGCGTGGTCGGAGGCGTACGGGCTCTGGGGGGAATCCGTGCTCCCCCCTTCCGCCATCTCGCTCCCCCCGGGCGTCCCTGCTGCGCCGCACCTGGAGGACTGCGCGCGAGTGAGCGCGGAGCGGGAGGCGGCGGAGCGGAGAGGCGCGGGCGGAGAGGAGCCCTCCTGGACCCAAGGGGCTCCCAGGAGGGCGGAAGCTGCTGCCGCTGGTGCCGGTGCTGCTGCTGCTGCTGCTGCTGCGTGCTCGGGGCAAGAGCACGGGGAGGGGGTGCCGCAGCCGCCTTGGGTAAGGGGGTATAGTCTGTACTGAGGTACTGTAGGTATGCAGGACAGTGTATACGAAGAGCGACGTTGGATGAGATATTCAGAATGGTGAATGTGAATGTGAATGTCAATGTCAATGTCAATGCCAATGTCAATGTCAATGTCAATGTCAATGCCAATGCCAATGTCAATGTCAATGTCAATGTCAATGTCAATGTCAATGCCACTGTCAAAGTCAATGTCAGTGCCAATGCCAATGTCAATGTCAATGTCAATGTCAATGTCAATGTCAATGTCAATGTCAATGTCAATGTCAATGTCAATGTCAATGTCAATGTCAATGTCAGTGTGTGTGAATGTCAGAGCCAGCGTCAGTGTCAGTCTCAGTGCATTCTCCAATGTCGAAGCAACCCTGAACCCATGTCTTTCAAGCTCCATTTTACGAGCATGCTTGACACAAGCATGCCTATGCTTAATCCGTCGCTCCACCCATATCCCATCCAGATCAGAGGGCCGGATGCAGCCAATCTGCCATTGACACGTGTCGTGCAGAGGGACATCTGGCGCCATCAGTTCCCCCTTGGCGACTGCACTGACAAGCGTCTGCTCATCGCCAAATGGCCCACTCCAGGTGGCCATGGGGCCGGTTCTCAGGTGATTCTGCTAGGCTCTCAGGTGATTCTGCCGGCTCTCAGGTGATTCTGCTGGGCTCACAAGTGATTCTGCTGGGCTCTCAGGTGATTCTGCCGGGCTCTCAGGTGAATTTTCTGGGCTCTAAGGTGAATCTGCTCCCAGGTGAGTCTGCTGAGCTTCTAGGTGAATTTGCGTTATTTTTATAGATTCGTGTGACGTCTCACTCAGAGTCTCTTAGGTTCTCAGGTGGATCTGTTAGGCTCCCAGGTGAGTCTGTTGGGCTCCCAGGTGAGTCTGTTGGGCTCCCAGGTGGCCAGGCTCTCTCAGATGGAGTGTGATTCAGTAGTTTGTGGTTCAGCTGAGGGTGACTCAAGGACTAAAGCGGAGTCACAGTATCCACTGTTCACATCAGGTGCACTTGATTCCAGCCCAGCCATGACCAGCCCAGCTGTGCCATGGTGTGGCAAGGGACATCTTGAGGCGCCTAAAGTAAAGCATCCGAGGAGCACTAACGTAAAAAGTGTTTTTCACCAGCACGTCACCTCATGCAAACATGTGGAGTGCTTCCGATTCACACACCTATATCCACACTTCCACACATGAATCCACCAGGTTCACGTGATGTCCGCCATGCTCAGCCTCGCCATGCTCAACAACCGCGTGCTCGTGGAGGACCCCGACTCGTACCTGCGCGCCCGCACCGCCGACTGCGAAGGTGTGCGGTTGAGTCGCGCTTTCTGCTTCCTGAGAAGTCGAATGAGTCAATAGCTGGAAGACCAGGTCATGTGTTGACTGTGAAGGGTCGCCGCACTGGGAGGACTGCTATTTCTTGCCACCAACAGTCCTATTGACTCACCTGACTGCAAAACTGGATTCAGTTAAATCATTGGTGATGAATGCTGACTGAGTCAGTGGAGTGTTGCAGAACGTCCACCCACCCCCCGCACCACCCCCACCAACTCCCCTCTCCCCCCCCCCGCCCCCCTCCTGTTCCCACTCTCAAACCCGTCCCTTCCCCCTCAATCTCCCCTTCTCAGCCGTGGGTCACAACAGCCGCTGGGACTGCTATTTCTTCCCCATCACCTCGGTGGAGTGCCGCCGGGTGGCCGTGCAGCAGCTGGCGCCTCATCTCCCCCCCTCTCCCCCCTCCCCCCTCCTCTTATCCCTCATCCCCCATCTTCACCAGCCGCGGGTCACAACAGCCGGTGGGACTGCTGCTTCTTCCCCATCACGTTGGTGGAGCGCCGCCGCATGGCCGTGCAGCACCTGGTGACTTCTGAGGTCCCTCAAACTCGTTTCTTCATGTCCCCCATACCTCCCCCTCTCCCTCTTCGAAGCGAAAGTGTTGTGTGACATTGTAACGAGGTGACTTTTGAGTCGACTCAAAAGTAAACTCGTTTCTTCATGTCCCCCATACCTCCCCCTCTCCCTCTCCGCCCCTCAAAATCTCCCATCTTCATCAGCCGTGGGGCACAACAGCCGCTGGGACTGCTACTTCTTTCCCATCACGTCGGTGGAGTGCCGCCGGGTGGCGGTGCAGCAGCTGATCACCAACACGCTCCCAGAGTGTGCGGGGGTGCGCTTTGAGGAGGCCGCCGCTTCTGATGCGAAATTCGTGTGCGTCGGCATGGCCAACTCCATGGAGTCCTCTGCTGCCAGGTGGGCTGTGAGTCATGAGCTGCCAGGTGCTGCTTTCGACCCCTTTCTCTATGAGCCATCCGTTTGAGGAGGCCGCCGCTTCTGATGCGAAATTCGTGTGCGTTGGCATGGCCAACTCCATGGAGTCCTCGGCTGCCAGATGGGCTCACAGGAGCTGGTCGGTGCTGCCAAGTGGGTTCATAGGGCCTGGTCTAAACGTCTGAGCGCCATGCTGAGCCTGCCCAACAGCTCATGGCCGTGCTGCAGCTCATCACCAACCCGCTCCCTGAGTGGGCCAAAGTTCGCTCTGTGTGGGCCAGGAGGCCGCTCTGTCTTCCGACCTATTTGTGTGTGTCAAAATGGCCATCCATCTCTATGGAGTCTTTTGCTGCCGCGTGGGCTGTGAGTCATCAGCTGCTTTTTAGAGGCTGGTAGGAAGGTCTTGGCTTTCTGGTGGGTTCGAGGGGTGTTCTAGAGGGCTTAGAATGGCCACACAGCAGCTGGTGACCAACGCACTCTGCCTGAATGCCGGGTGCGCTTTAACGAAGCTGCTGCTGCTTCTGACCAATTTTTCCTGTGCTGGGGATCAGAGTCTGACTCCGTGGAGCCTTCCTGCGGCTAGGCGTTCATTTGTGTCACATAGAGCTGCCTACTTGACATTTGACGTCTCATATCCCTCTTCGCTCTCCTCACCCTAACCTTGTCAGCCTGTGTGGGGCGATGGAGCTATTTGATCACCACATGCGCTGCCGTGTAGTGGTGGCGCCTCTTCTGCCTTTGAGCATTCTCAAGAACCAATTTGTCCCCCCGCTGTGCTCCCCCACCCTCGTTCCCTGGCCAGCCTGTGGGGCGACGCTTATTTAAACACCACATGCACTGTGGAGGCAGAGGGGCGACTGATGCCCCTTGCACCGGAACTGCGCAAGGTGGGCAGCGTTGTCTGTGTGCGTGGATTTTTGCGTTGACTATATGTTCGAATAATCTCTGGAGTGTTGTTGCGTTCTGTGGAGGCAGAGGGCAGGGGCGAGCCTGAATTGTGCGAGGTGTGTGGTAGCAGAGCAGACTGTCACATGTGCGAGGGTTGACATAGATGCATGTGCTAATCTGCTAGCATATGTGCGTGTGGAGTGTTGTGTGCTCTGCTCAGGCACAGGGCCAGCTAATGTCTCTTAAGCCTGAGCTGGGGTACGCACGATGACAGCGTGTGTCCCAGCAGGTGTCTCTGGTGACGGGATCAGGCAGTGCAGAGCGCTTCATAAGTCACTGGTGAGCAGGCGCAGTCTGCAACTTGCCATTCGCTTCCCCTCACCCCCCCATTGAACCAGGTGCACTGGTGGCAAACGCAGGCAGTGCGCTTCAGTGTGATGTCTTGAATTGAACGCCCTCTCCCTTAGCCTCCAGCAGGTACTCTGGTGGCAACTCTATGGGTCGGTAACATGCCCTCCCCCCACCCCCCCATCCCCCCTATGGTGCAGGCCGTGCGCTTCAACGAGTGACTTGTTTTCAGGAGCCCCTGTTCCTTTCCCCCCAAGCCCCCCCAGGTGCACTGGTGGCACACACAGGCGGTGCACGTGATGAGTACCTTGTTTTATGACTTTTTATGACTTACCCCTAGTCTCTTCCCCACCCCCCATGGCCCCAGGTGCACTGGTGGTGCGTGCAGGTGGTGTGTGCAGGCAGTGCACATCGTTTCTCCTTTAATTAAGCCGATTTACTGGTGGCGCACCCAGGCAGTGCGTTTAATTTCTCTTCCTATTAAGTCTATTGTTTTCCCTTGTCCCTCCCCCCAGGAGCACTATTGGGGCGCCCAGGCGGTGCGCGTAATTTCTCATTTACGTAATTAAGTCTATTGTTCTCCGTTGCCCCTCCCCCCAGGTGCACTGGTGGTGCACGCAGGCAGTGCGCTTCATTTCTCCTCTGATTTGAATCTATTGTTTCCTCTTGTCCCCCATGTCCCCAGGTGCACTGGTGGCGCGTGCAGGCAGTGCACCTCATTTCTCCTGTATTTTTACTCTACAGTTGTCCGTTTCCCCTCCCCCCAGGTGCACTGGTGGCGCGCACAGGCGGTGCGCTTCATCATGCGGTGGCCATCCGCCCACCTCTGCCACGTCACCAACCAGGAGAGGCACCGCGCCTTCGGCACGCTCTCAGCCAATCACGTAGCTCGGTTCCTGCAGACCCAATCAGAAGCCCTCTCCGCCCTCTCTCACAGCATTAGCGCCTCTCCTGGCACTGCCACAGCAGCAGCCAATGCTGGTGCCACACCAGCAGGAGCCAACGGCACAGCTGCCGCAACGGACTGGGAAGCAAGGAGAAGAACGGCAGCCGATCGACTGGTAGCTCTTGCTGCTTCCTTCTTGTCCTTCCATCCAGATCCTTATGCCACGCCCACTGCCACTGCTGCATCTGATCACAGCGCAAGCTTATCTGGCGATGCTGCTGCTGCTGCTGCTGCTGCTGCTGCTGCTGGTGCCAATGGTGGTGAAGGGGGTAGTGGTGACAATGGCAATGATGCTGGCTGGTCCATGTTAGTGCAGGAGCCGTACATGCCGCGGCCTATAGCGAGTCTGCATGTAAGGGGGACGGACAAGTTTGCGGAGATGGGGCTGAGCTCCCTGGACTCGCACATCTTCCACATGACTCGCCTCAGACCCCATGCGCTCCACCTCCAACACGTCTGGCTCAACACCGAGACGCAGGTCAGATTCCTCAACATCTTGCACACAGACGCAGGTGAAGGGCTCAACACCCAAGACGCAGGTATCCCACTGATGGCCCTTGTTTCTCGGTTCTCCGTTCTCGGTTCTCCGTTCTCCGTTCTCCGTTCTCCGTTCTCGGTTCTCCGTTCTCGGTTCTCCGTTCTCGCCTCCGACCCCATGCGCTCCACCTCCAACACGTCCGGCTCAACACCGAGACGCAGATCAGATGCCTACAATGACTCCTTAAAATGCGTTCTTAGTGCTTCGAGGTTTCTGATGGCCCTTTTGTCTCCGTTCTTGCGGCCGCAAGTCACAAACCATGTGCCTCACTTTGTACCGCAGATGCCAGATTAGATCTGTTTCTGTTGCCAGCCTTAGCAAACTGCCTGCTTCCCTCCTCCCGCTCATCTCGTCTCCCCGCACCGCGTAGGCCAACATCGACCAGGTTAAGGAGCTCGCCTCGTGGACCTTCTTCTACTCATCGAACGCGCGCCAGCAGGACGGCGGGGGCGGCCTGCGGCAGTACGAGCGCGACCAGTCGGTGGCGGTGAGCTTCGCGAGCGTGCTGATCGCCGCGCAGTGCGACCTCTTCGTCGGCAGCCTCGGCTCCAACTGGAGCCGCCTCATGAACGAGCTCCGTTCCACCAATGGCCGCCTGCTAGCCGGATTCGTCGCCGTCAATTTCGGGGAATGGTGAACAGGCTGAATCGGGCTTCAGGGCGTGTCCAGCGCGTTCATTTCGCCCCAACCGAGCGTCTTTTGTACTTGTTTGAAATTTGCTATGGAAACTGTTACTGTTGCGAAGTTTACCTTCGGAGGGCAGAACACGGTTGGCGCGGCCGCTTATGACGCCAAAAATGAGCCTGTGCGTTACGCAAAAGCAAGACTGACATGCGACGTCGGTAGGGTTACAAAATGGCCCACTTCATTTTTAGGGTGCTTCGAAGAGTCGCACGAGGTAGGCGAAACGTGTCGTTTTTTTCGCCAGCCGGATTGGCGGGATTAGGCGTTTTCGAAACACTTACAACACGACAGCGGGCACGCTTGGAAGGTGTCTGTTAAAACCGACGTTTTTAAGTTTTTAAGTTTTATTGAGGGTCGTAACCAGAAAATACAGGACAGGCATCAGCTGACCTATTTATCAAGGCTGGGAAAAACAACCTGCACAAAAGCATGCTAGCAGCCTAGCTCCACCGGCTAGTATGAGATCTTATGACCACACAGCCTATACCGCTTATTAGGGAATGAAAAAATGGGGGTCAAGGTGGGCGGAAGCTATCACCCAACAACTATTTCCGATGTAGGGCAGGGTGTATGGAAGGGTAGCCAAAGTGGTCAATGGTAAGGAGACGATAGGACCGGGCGTAGCGAACACGGGAAGCAGTTGCTTGTTGATACTTAACAGACCGCTTCTGTCGCTGCACAAGGAAAAGTTTGCAGGCCGAGAGAAACAGGGATATAATTATGTGTAGGGCGCTGATTGATTGTCGAGGTGGAGTCACGCTGATGGTGTTTAGCGCAGCGGATGTCCCATAGTTCTTTTGCAGCAGCGCCGACCAGTAAGCTCCATGGGGCTACTCGGCCAGCCTCCAGCGACAAGGGGAAGAACGCCAAAGGGGCCGGAACTGATAGGCCAGGATGAGAGCGGGCAACACGTTGAAGGGCAGAGACAGCAGCAGCAGGACTGCAGTCGGTGAAGGTGTAGGGGAGGGTTTCCTAAGGGTGGCAAGGGCATCGAAGACACGCACCCCTGCCGTCAAGGAAGCCGAAACGGGCACCAGAAGGGAGGGCGCGAGCATGTAGCCGGAATAGGAGGTCCCAGATGCGGCTGGGCTGTTCACGAAGGAAGGGCTGCTTTAGTGAAGGAGGCAGAGGGATAAAGAGCTGGAGACCAGATGACCATACATCATGTAGGACTAGGGGTTTGGTGTTAACGTAGAAACGAATAATTACTAGAGGTGGAAACCTAGAACAAATACTAGTTGGTTGTACTCACTAGAAGCATACCTCAGTCTAGCCTATAACTTCTACATAGATAATATGTATAAGTTGACACACCCCTAGGCTAGACAAGGGGTGAAACTAAACAAGAAGCAAACAGCTCAGGGCGGCACTACTAGTCCAACCACTGAGGCAGGGGTCTGGAGACCAGTCAGCAAGAATACAACCAAAACTGAAGCAAGCCAGGGTGGCACTACTAGTCCAGCCACTGGAGGTAAGGCCACAAGGCCAGTCTGACAAGCATATATAATAGAGAGTACACAATCAGGATCCTAACAGGGGAGCAGCTATAGGAACAAGACCAAGCTGTACACAGTGCCGCTGATGATCTTTAGGCGCAAGCGCCTTAGTAAAGATATCAGCTGTGTTGGCACCTGAGGCCAAGTGAACTACGCGGGCCTGGCGGCGCTGCTGTAGCTCGCGCAGGAGGAAGTACCGCAGCTGGATATGCTTCGCTCTGCCCTCAAGCCGAGGCTCCTGACACAGGAGTATCATGGCCCTGTTGTCAGAGTACAGGACCGGGGCAGAGCTAGGCCGCTCACCTAAGTCTGTGAGCAAGAAGGTCAGCCAGCGGAGCTCCTGTGCCGCCATGGCACCAGCGTAGATCTCAGCCTCACAGCTAGACTGAGCCACAGACGACGAGCGAGTGGATCTCCAAGAGATAGCACCCGAACCAAGGCTAAAACAGTAGCCCTGCGACGACCTGAGCGTCTCAGCGTCGTCTGCCCAAGAAGCGTCTGTGTGCCCAGTAAGGACCACTGGCCTGCGTCCTCCTAGCACTAACCCCATGCCTGATGTACTAGCAAGATAACGCAAAACCCTCTTAGCGGCAGACCAGTGCTGAGGTCGGTGTCTGCCTGTAGCCACAAAGCGAGCCAGGATGCTGAGAGGGTATGCGAGATCTGGGCGAGTGCAAGTCATCAGGTACATGAGGCAACCCACCAGCTCTGCGTAGGGGCCACTGGGCTCTACTGGCTCCTCAGGAACGGGAGCAGAGAGCCCATGGTCTACGGGTAGAGGTGTGGGCTGTGCGGAGGAGAACTGAAGACCGAACCTCTGAAGGACCTGACGCACCAAGTGTGACTGGGTCAGAGTGATGGTGCGTGCTGCTCTGTCCCTAGAGATCTGCAGGCCAAGATAGCGACGCAGCTCTCCAAGGTCAGTGCAGGTGTGTCTCTTCAGCAGCTCAGCCTTCACAGAGGCCAGTGCGTCCCTGTCAGGAGTAGCGAAGACCAGGTCGTCTACGTAGACAAGGATGTAGAACGGAGTCTGGCCGGAACGCACAAACAGTGAAGGGTCAGCAGAGGACGGAAAGAACTGCAGGTCTGCTAACGTGGCACGTAGCGTGTCGTGCCACTCGCGGGGAGCCTGACGCAGGCCGTAGACCGGGCGCCTGAGAAGCCACTGGGTCCCAGGAGGGAAGGTACCAGTGAAGCCCTGTGGTCGGCGCAGGTAGACCTGCTCGTGTAGGCTGCCCTGAAGAAAGGCAGTAGAGAAGTCGAGAGAGTGAAGCTCGTAGTCACGCTGTGCTGCTACGTGTAGCAGCGCCCGAAGAGTGGTCATCTTCGGGGTCGGGGCGAAGGTCTGGAAGAAGTCAACTCCCTCGCGCTGACTGAAACCTCTGGCCACGTAGCGCGCCTTGAAGACAGGCGGCTCTCCAGGGGGGCGCTTCACCTTGAAGAGCCACCGACCATCGACTACGTTCACCCCAGGCGGGGGAACTGCGTCGACGTAAGTGCCGGTGGATCTCCAAGATGCCATCTCCTGCTCCATGGCAGCTATCCACTGAGAGGCCCAAGGTCCCAAGGTGGCCTCAGCGTAGGTGCGAGGGGTCGGGATGTCGAAGGCGTCTGGGTCACCCTCAGGGACTAACAGCATGGAGCAGAGATGGGGAGCAGCCTCGGAAAGGAAAGCCAGCTCGTACTGCCTGTCCTCTAGGACGTCACTGCCAAGGGCAGGAGCACCCCCGACGGACAGAGGACGGGCAGGGTCAGAGACCAGAGCGGTAGCGTAGTCAAGGCGGCGGGTAGAAGCGAAGTCAGCGACAGCGGCGACAAGCGCGTCAAGGCGCGAGACAGGAACAGCAGGGTCGGTAACAAGAGAGGCAAGGACCCGAGGGACAAGGGGACGAGCAGCACGGAGGTAGTCAGAGAACGGAGGAGGTGCAACAGCAAGGGACGAGGGAGGAGGGGACGGGAGGAGGGGAGGACGAGACGAGTGGGAACGGAGCAACATAGGGTGGGTGGGCAGGACAGGAGAGACGGGACGAGCACGGGAGGGACGGCGAGCCCAAACGTGAGACGGAGGGGTAGGGTCAGGGGACAGCGGAGGAGACACAGGAGGGGAACGAGGAGGAAGACGGGCCGGAGACGAGTCTGGCGGCGGGAACACAGGACCGTAGACAGGGAGGTCAGGAGGCGGTGGGGGAGACACCGGCGCGCGGTCCGGGGAGGGAAGGCCGAGCAGGCGGAGAGCGGAAACCGGCGGCGACGGCTGCTGTGGCGGCGACGACGGCTGGGCCGGAACTCTGGGACCAGCAGAGGCAGAACGACCGTCGGCAGAACACTCAACAGCAGCACCCCCAGAACCAACACCCCAAGAGCGAGAACCCCCTCCAACACCAGCGGCACCCCCAGAAGCCGCAGGACGAACACCCTCCTCCACACCAGCACCCCCAGGGGCCGAGAGCAACGGCGGCAGTGGCGGCGACAGCGGCGACGGCTGCGGCGGCGACGGCGACGGCGGCGGCAGCGGGGTCGGCGACTGCGACAGTGGGGGCGGAGGCACTGGGGAAGGGGGACGCGGCAAGGACGGACCGGGGGTACCACCAGAGTCAGCAGACTCCTCAACGGGGACAACCGACGGGAGGGGAGTGACGTGGGAGACACCAGACGGGGCAGGACGAGGCGGGAGAGGGGCAGGGGCTACCGGGGGAGAGGGAGCAAGGAAAAGGGGGGGGGCAACTGGGAGACCTCGGTGAGGGAAGCGGCGGTAGAAGGAGACGGACTCGTCAAAGGTGACGTCACGAGAGTGGAGGAAGCGGTGAGACGGCGGGTGGTAGAAAAGCCAGTCAGACGAGTCCAGGGGGAAACCGAGGAAGACACAGGGGACAGTGCGGGCAGTGAGCTTGTCCGTGCCAGAGGCACGAACGTGAGCAAGGCAGCCCCAGACGTGGAACGCAGACGCGTCACCGGGGGACCCGGTCCAAAGGAGGGTCGGCGAAACCTGCGGCCGCTGGGAGCGTGGCCACAGGTTAAGCTGGTGAGCCGCGTAGCGAACAGCGAACGGCCACAGAAAATGGGGGGCATCGGCATGGATCATGGAGGTACGGGCGACCTCCATGACCAAGCCGATGCGGCGCTCAGCAACCCCATTCTGCTGTGGCGAGTCCGGCAACGTGTACGACTGGGTGATGCCCTCCGCACGACAGAACTGTCCAAGCCGACCAGAGGCGAACTCGCCGCCACGGTCGGAGTGGAGACACAACACGGGGAGACCGCGGTGGAGACGCGCAGCTACAACCCACGGGAGAAGAACGTCGGGCACGTCGGCCTTCCGCTCCAGGGGAAACACCGTGGTGTAGCGCGTGTAGTCGTCAACGAGCACAAGGAAGTAGCGCTCACCGCGCGGTCCGGGGACGGGGGCAGGGCCCCAAACGTCCAAGTGCAGGGTCTGAAGGGGGGCAGTAGCAGGACGCAGCGAGGAGGAGTGAGGAGCACGGCGGAGCCGACCCTCGACGCAAGGCGTGCACGGTGGCGCAGTCGAGGGAGGAAGGGCAGGGAGCGACGCGGGGAGACCTAAGACAAGACCGTGCTGGGACATGTGACGCAGACGCGGGAGAGCAGGGTGACCTAAGCGGTGGTGCCAGAGAAGGGAGGGGTGAGTGAGGGACCGACACGAGCAAGCTGCAGCGACCTGGGAGGACGCACCAACCGGGGGGGAAGCGGTGTGTAGGGTAAACAGACCGGACACCGGGTCCCGGGGGAACGTCGCAAGGGGGGAACCTGAGACAGCCTCAGAACAGACAGCGAACCGCTCGTGCCCGGGGAACGTGGTGGTGACGCCGAGGTCCTGG